GTTTTCATACGAATGAAACTACTGAACCATCAGACCACCCCAGTGAGAAGTGTGTACTTCATTAAACTTTCACATTCTGTAACCGCAGCTTAATTGACCGTTAATTGCTACTTTATGTGTATCTGTGTGGTCGCCGGTGGCAGCGGCCATCTTACACAAGAAAATATCAGCGGTGTTTGGTTGTCGAGTGTCTGGAACTCAAATCGGACACTCAAACACTCGAACACCGCTGAGACCTCCAGAGCTCCATAACTCATGAACGGAGGGGCCAGTCAGCGCCTCGTTCGGTAAAATAAATGTACTGAACAAGGGAATACATCCGAATATGAGATTAGCTATGGATGGCAAGTATTTCTGTGTGTTTTAACTACCGAACGGAGACCGACCGCAGGGCCAAAATACATGGAGCCTTTTTCGGATACTACCTCATGTGCGGTCGGTCAAATTTCACCTTCCATCTAACTCCCGAACCCCTGGTCCGATCTGGGTGAATTTGGAATATGTTATTTACCTACATCTGGGCTACAAGGGGGTACCCAGTATATCAGTCTATCTGCCTGTTTTGGGGTACATCCAGAAATCGGGGAAAACTACAGTATGTTTGTAACGGCACCCTCAGCATAAAATGTTTAAACCGCCGTTTAGAAGATCTTCCCCTTCCAGAGATACAGGCACAGCTACTGCAGAACACCAAACTCCCGAACCGCATGTAAGGGAATGCTCCAAACTCCCGAACTGCATACAGAATAGCACTCCAAACTCCCGAACAGGAACCTCACGATTAGCTGCTAGCAGACGAATACGAAAAGCACCCAAGCGGCTTACACTCCTAGAAATCAGTCTCTATCAGCATACAGTAAATCCCCCCAAGGACGAGACAGAGCTCCGTGTTGAGGGTCAAGCAGTGGTCTGTTTAATGAGGGCTACCTGCCCAGTATTTATGCAGGTCTCCCACCTGGTGGACACTCCCCTAGGGGACCAGATGGAAGACTGTGACAAAGACATTGTAGCAACCAATCACAGGGTACACACTTATTCATTCCCCTTTTCTTACCCAGAACCCTCTGCTCTGCTCAGGGAGATAATTGTGAAGTAATTCAATTATCTCCCAGGACAGAGCCTAAACGCCATTTTAGATGACAATAACAAAAAGACATAAAAATACATAACTGTTATATTTTACAACATTTTACAGGCATTCAACATGTCCCCAGATAGCTAGGATCTGAGCGTACCAAAGTACCGAATAGCGCTCACATCCTATGCACACAGTCCAATCGCTGTGGCGCCAGAGTGTTCACAAAGTCAGTTTTCATACGAATGAGCTCCACAGGATTCCTATCTGGGGTATGGTGTATTCGGGTACAACTACCGAATATAGGGCCGTTCATGCACATCTACCGAACAAGAAGGGAGGTCGGTGGCTTCAGCGGTGATCGCGCCAAAATGTATCCGTTTTAAGTTCCATGAGTTGGGCGTCGAATACCGCTGTGCGTTCGCGTGTTAAAAATGGCCGCGACCTCGTGTTCCGTATACGAATGGCGGCCACCTAGAATTCGTCAATTAAGCTGCGGTTAACCGCAGCTTCTGGGAGGTTAATTGCCGACACACTCCTGCTCCCAGGTGGTTTAGTCATTCGTGCGTTAGTTCGGTAGACTGAATCTACCGACCGCCGGGCAGAAAGGCATGACTAAGCCTTTTCTGCAGGGGAAAAGAAGTCTTTTAACATGGGGCCATAATCCAAAGGCAACAGGCGAGCAACCAGGCTTCTCCAATGCAATGTGGTGAGATTGGTCTCGTCACAATGTTTAATGGAATTATGTGTCACACTGAGGGGAGGAGATGTGTGGGAGGTAACTGTTACACTATTGGCTACAGTAATAATTACTGTGAATCCCTCCCTTGCATGGGAGAAAGCTTTAAAAGAAGGTTGTGTGATTAAAAGTTCAGTTCTGCTCCTGATACTGTGTGTTGTCCATTCATTGGGATCTGTATGGGGATATTCGTGGATTACCTTGCTTGCTGTGATTATTCTATGGTATTTTATTACTTGTCCCTGAGCCTCACCGGGATCTTTAGTGGAGTTAACCTGTGAAAGACCAGCTCTCCGCTACAAAGACCAATTTAGGTCTTTCAGCCTTTTGGTAGATAACTCCCTAATTCCCACGGGATTAGGGAGTTATCTAGTAAGCGGCTGCAATAGAAGTCCCGAATTTCCGAAGTGCCGAATTTCCAAAGTGTTGAAGTGCCGAAGTGCTGAAGTTCCGAAGTGTTGAAGAGCCGAATTGCCAAAATCACGAATTTCTGAATGCGGAACCAAACCGAAAATTTTCCCCATGCACATGCCTAGTTCTTACCAAACTGCATTGAATATTTGGAATAGCCGGTGCTTGGGAATATGTTTGGATACCATATCTGCTCCTGTAACACAAGTTCTATCGTTACTGACTGAGTTGCTTAACCAAGACAAAGCATATGGTACATTGAATTTGTATTAATCTGTTTCAGTAGGTCATGTCAGGGTATTTATATCGGCAGACATCTTGTGCTATGATAGAAATTAAAAGTGTATATTCTGAGTCACTCTGAACAGACCAGACTCCATTTTGTTATTTCCAAGTTAACAAAAGACACAAGATTTCTATATGTAAAACTAACCACTTTGCCAGAGCTAAAGGAATGCATAGTATATACAAACCAAGTGATAAGGAGAACGGGGGTTGGATAGACTGTCTAAAATGCTAATGGAATATAATCAATTCTAAACCCAGACATTGGTGACAGAGAAGATTAAATAATTTAATTTACTTTCTATATGTATAAGGTCCCATTGTAAGTTACGGGTCAAAACTCAGAATTTGCCAGACACATAGTCTGGACAAAACTTAAAGAAACCCTTTGATCTGAAAGGATACTTAAATTATGGCCACTATCAAGATAGGCCAAAATGACGTCAAAATAGCCACCAGGAAAAGTTAACTCTTTCCTGGATAGGTATGTTTAGTGGGACAAGACTGCCCTCTATAGACCAAATACCTAAATTGCGATCCCTAGGTAAGCACACCTCTAGTGCTTCTATTGGGTTATCAACTGATGATGTACAGAGAGTCTGGCCCTTTAAAAGTTAGGACAAATGGAAGACAGGGGAATGCAAGGAGGAAAAGGAAGAGAGAGGAATTGGAAGGTTGGAGACTCCAACTCGGACATGCAGAGAGACCCAGGACAACATCTGAGACTAACACTCTACTCTTAAAACTCTAACACTTAGAATTTTACTGACTTTCTAACCAACACCACCTTTCACCATAACTCATGCACCTACAGACATCCAAATAAGTTCCTGAGACTATCTACCAATCGGATGAAATATCTACTCAACTGGTAATTATACTGGTTTCATTTAATTAATTAAATTAATTAAAATTTATTAATTGCATGATATGACTGGATAAATCATGGTCAGATTTCCATATTAAGAAATCTTAGTTAACTAAAGAATATATAGTTATAAACATTCCATTCTGCAGGTGGAATTAAGAATAATTATATATTGATGTGATATTATCACGTGTTAGCATACCGCTGTTTTTATCCAGGTGTATTGATTTGCTCTAATATAAGATAAGATATATTTTTAGACAAATTAAAATCTGCTTATATAATCATGGTAGATTCTCTTATTGGATGGTTCCAGGAAATGACTAATGAACTGGTTTAAATGTTATTTTATTTAAAATTACATAAGAATAGATCTTAATTACCTAGGAGATCTAGCCAGCATTGGAAGGGTTATTCTAACTGTTAGCCAGGGTTTTATGGCCCTTCGCTGTGAAAAGCTTCACTTTCAGTCTGTAAGGATACCTCATAAATCGTGTAAGACTTGACAGAAAATGCTGTTTAGCCATTGAAACGTGTATAGCCATTCCTTTGTATTGCATACCATTTTATACTGGATATTCATTGATTATTGTCACGCATGTTATATATATTATTATTATTATTAATAATGAATTTGTTATTATAAATAAATCTATTTTTATAAAATTGTGATATTATTTATATGAAATACATTCCACTTAACATGATAACGATCTTTGGGTCTGAGAATTGAATTAGTGGGCAATTCTCACTGTTACTATTATTATCCCATAAATATCCCCACAGTCATAAGAGTTGTTAAGACACCCCTGGCGCCTATGAGGGAAACCACCGTTTAGTTAAGCTTCCCCCTTCACAATCTCACTATCTCCGTTCGCATAGACTGCTACATACGAACCACCATCAGGGGAAGCGGTAATCTCCCGAACGGGATCCGTAAGCGGTTCCAAACTCCCGAACATAAATCCACGAACCGTCGCTAGCCGCCGAACACATATATCCACCAAGCGGCTTTTGGCTCCAGCAGTCAGTCTCTAGTCGTCGGTAATAAATCCCCAATAACGAGACTAAGCTCCGCATTGAGGGTAAAACAAGATCTGGCTTTACTGTGGGCTACCCGCCCGTATTTATGCAGGTCTCCCACTTGGTGGACACTCCCCTAGGGGACCAAATGGGAGACTGTGATGGCAGATGGACACATGGACATTTCTGACATACAGGCACAAACTTTTCCCACAATGCAATATGGTTTCCTCCCCTCTGCCCTGGAGATAATTGAGAAGTAATTCAATTATCTCCAGGACAAAGACAAATCGCCATCTTAAGTAAAATACCAGAAAACACACAAAAATAAATAATTACACAACTACCGAACATTTTACATTCGTATCACATATCCCCAGATAGCCTGGATCTGAGGGCATATTATTAGCAAATAGCGCTCAGATCCCATACGCATAGTTCAATCGCCATGGAGTCAAAGTTCTTACAGTCTTTCAGTATGCGATTGACTCCATGGGAAGGCTATCTGGGTTAAGTCTCTTCATGTAATCCAAAACTCGCGAACAGCCGGTGTTCGCATGCTTTTGTCGACGGAGAAGGGTGACCCGTTGTTTCAGCGGTGTTCGGCAGAAAAAGTGTCCGTTTTTAGTTCCATGAATTCAATGCCGAACACCGCTGGTCTTTCGTGCGATCTAAAATGGCCGCTGCCTCATGGTCGACATGCGAATGACGACCACCCTGTATTCGGTTTTAATTGAGAAGTGTCTGCGGTTAACCACAACGTTCTAATTGGGATCAAGAGGTTAACCAGCAGCACACTTCTATTCTGGGTGGCCGTCCGTTCGGTAGATTTGTTCGGTAAAAAAGTACATCATACGCATGGGCTATAGAAATAAGCAATTTCCACGAAAGGAAGGCAAACCAGACGAATCCACAAATAATAGTCATACAGATGGGTCTGTCACAAGAGTTGTTTTTTTTTTATTCTCGGGTTAAATGGATCATGTCTGTTGCCAGCATTGACATTTCAGTTTTCAGGCACATTCCACCAGAGGGGCTATGACTTCCAAAGGTTTTCTCTCTGGTTGTGGCCTAGAACAACTCCTTAAGACTGCAGGCTTGTCTACGGAATCTACTTTCTGAGGGATTTATTTTGAACTCATTCAACATTTTTCAACCTTAATCATAGATTAGCTTTGAACTCGCATAATGGGAGCCTTTGTGTCTTGTAATAAATTTCTATTTTGCTATTCAATAAAGTCCATGATTTTATTAGACAGAGAAACCACATTTCTAGTTGTTATCAGTGTTTATTATAACTTATATTTTTACTATCATATTTTAGCAATAGTAATATGTCCGATTCACACATTGTATGATCCAAGATGTTTTTCTTTCTTTTCAGCTTGAACTTCCGATGATATTTCTGTTTAATCGGATGTCGTCGTGGCCTCTGTCGGATCTACATACAGCCTACAAATTTATGTTCTCAACTGGTTACGGTTGTGGTGTATTGACTTTTGAATTGTCCTTTTCCCTATGATTTATGACCTGCAAAGAATTACGAAGGTTCTCATGGTCTCTGGCTAGTTCCTAATTGGTTAAATTACAGTGTGCATTTTAGGGCACCTTTGTTCATTTTGATTTTTTTCTCTTTGCTTAATATTAATATGTTTTTCTGCTACAGGACAGTAAAGAATGATCTAGGCATTATAGGATCCTCTGTGTTTAATAAAACCATGACTTTACATTATGGAATAGTAAAATCCTTGAATTATATTATAAACAGAGTTACATTTTTTAACAGGATCAATGAGCCAGACCTAGCTTGGAATAATTGCAGACTTTAGACTTAGTAATTATGTGCAATGCCTGTAAATGGCTGCAAAAAAACTAAAAAGTGATGGACAACAATTGATCCATTGAAGAAAATGAATGTTTATCTAATTATAAATACACTGTAAAACCCCACTTTGAAATTGAAGTTCTTTTTAACAATGCTATGGAAGTGGTACAGTACAGAGATTAGCTACAAAAGGTGATTTACAGGAAAAAGAAGATTTTAGTTATGAAGAAATGCTAGACAATCAGTTCTTTCTAATTGGAAAATAGCTTTCAGGATAGATTGAGTGCCAGTACAAAGAGATCTCTGATAATCTGTTTATTAACAAGATTGTACAAAGGAAATATAGCATTCTTTGAGACCAGACGAAATGTAACCTACAGCTGTGTAAACAGAATTCTTTACAGATGTGGATTCTATGCATAGGGAAGATGTGCTTTCAAAAGAAATAGATGCCTTTAAGGTGGATTATAGGCATTTTAACAAACAGTGATATTAATTATTATTAATATGCATATTATGAATGGTAACTTCTTTTGTTCTCATCCTAAATTACTTTGATAACTCATTCACTACCAAACACTGTTTGCTTTAAAATATATTAGCATAGCATTTATTTGAATGACTGGACACATTGCATAACATAAAATTAGGATAAATTACCAATATTTAAAGATCGTAGTTTAGAGACGTATACAAATGAAAGAGTAAACATCACTTCCCAGAATTTTAACATGTTTACCAATACACATATTTGAAAATATAATTTTATATATACACCTTTTTATCCTGTAACTAGGCAACTCAGTCTTAAAGGAACACTATAGGGTCAGGAACATAAACATGTATTCTTGACCCTACAGGGTTAAAACCACCATCTAGCCACCCTGGTCCCCTCATGCCTCCCTCAAAATATTAAAATCTTACTTGTATTCAAGTTTGGAGCTGCAGGCTTTGTCTCTATTTCCTGTAGACCTGCCCACTGCCTGCTGACATCATCAGAAGTGGTAGCCTGATCTAATCACAATGTTTCTCCATAGGATGGGCTGAGACTGACAAAGAGGCAGAGCCAGCATGATCCAATCAGCATCTCCTCATAGAGATGAATTGAATCAATGAATGAGGAAAGTTCAGTGTCTGCATGCAGAGGGAGGAGATACTGAATGTTTGGATGCATTTTTAGGCAGCCATGACCCAGGAAGGATCTCTAACTGACATCTGAGGAGTGGCCAGTGAAGTTATCACTAGGCTGTAATGTAAACACTGCATTTTCTCTGAAAAGACAGTGTTTACAGCAAAAAACCTGAAGGTAATGATCTACTCACCAGAACAAATTCAATAAGCTGTAGCTGTTCTAGTGACTATAGTGTCCCTTTAAATGAACACTGTAGAATTGGGAAACGTAGGCACATACATGGCACTCACATACAATTCCTCCACTGAGAAACATTGTATTCAACAATTCTCTGGCTAACCGTAACAACTATGCATGAGCTTGCGGTATGAGAGTCCTACCCAGATGGCTTGAAGCCACACTGCCAGGACTTCTAAATAGTGAAATAAAGGGTTTTGGGGGGTAGAACAGCATGGCCAGAACTCAAGGCACTATAACAATGTCAATAAAATGAAGTTGTTAAAGGAACACTATAGGGTCAGGAACACAAACGTGTATTCCTGTCCCTATAGTGTTAAAAACCATGCTAGCCTCCTTAACCCCTTAAAGGACCACTCTAGGCACCCAGACTACTTCAGCTTAATGAAGTGGTCTGGGTGCCAGGTCCAGCTAGGGTTAACCCATTTTTTCATAAACATAGTTTCAGAGAAACTGCTATGTTTATGAATGGGTTAAGCCTTCCCCCTAATCCTCTAGTGGCTGTCTCATTGACAGCCACTAGAGGCGCTTGCGTGCTTCTCACTGTGATTTTCACAGTGAGAGCACGCCAGCGTCCATAGGAAAGCGTTATGAATGCTTTCCTACGTGACCGGCTGAATGCGCGCGCAGCTCTTGCCGCGCGTGCGCATTCAGCCGACGGGGAGGAGAGCTCTCCGCCCAGCGCTGGAAAAAGGTACGTTTTACCCCCTTTCTCCCTTCCAGAGCCGGGCGGGAGTGGGACCCTGAGGGTGGGGGCACCCTCAGGGCACTATAGTGCCAGGAAAACGAGTATGTTTTCCTGGCACTATAGTGGTCCTTTAAGGACACATGACATGTGTGACATGTCATGATTCCCTTTTATTCCAGAAGTTTGGTCCTTAAGGGGTTAAATAACGTTTAAACTCACTTTATTTCCAGCACTGTTTGGCTGAGAAGATCAATTCTGATGATGTCAGTCAACGAGGCAGAGCCAATCACAATGCTTTCCTACAGGAAATTTTGATTACATCATTGAACCAATGCATCTCTATGGGAGCAGTTCAGAGTCTGCATGCAGAGGGTGGAGACACTGAATGTCAGTGACACTATGCAGCACTGACCCAGGAAGCACATCTAATGGCCATCTGAAGAGTGACCACTAGAGGTATTCCTAGGCTGTAATGTAAGCATTTTCTCTGAAAAGACCACATTTACAGCAAAAAAGCCTGCAGGGACAGACTATACTCACCATTAAGCTGTAGTGGTTCTATTGACTATAGTCTACCTACAGTGTTTCTTTCACTCCCTGTCAATACTGTTATAAGTGCTGTCCTTTACATCTGGCAGTCAGCAAGGAGTAAAAAAAGGAGAAATTAAGGTTTCTATTTCTCCTCTTCGTTAGCATTGTGTGCACTGACTGTGCCTTGTCTGTACTGGATTTTGATGGCATCTGCTAAATCATTAATATAAACTTGAAAACAAAACGGCACATCTAAAGAAAAAAAGGTTAACACGATTTATGGGTGACTTTCGGTGTTTTAAATGTATAGTAAATTCTAGAAAAGTGACAGCTTATCTTTAGAATTATGTAAATTTACACAATTCAAATGTTTAATTTTAGTATAAATTCTTAGATCGCACCAATGAAGTTCCTAATTAAAACCTGTGGAATGATGAGGCTGGGTCATGCCTTTTAAAGTCAGCTTTCAGCCATGCATTGGGACAAAATGAAGCTTGCCTAGAGATATCTCCTTCAGTAAAACATTGACGGTAAGAGGGGCTTCACAGGCTGCATTGCAAAATGAAAGTAAAAATATGTATACAGGATTCTAGCAGTGAATGGGGTTAATGCAAAGGAGGAGGTGCCTGGATCCCAGACTATCTCACCAGGATCCCAACTAAACCCAAATATCGACACCCACCATCTGAAGGAACTTGTTGAAATGTCTCTCCAGCTGTACCTCAGCTGAGAGGGAGTAAGTGAATGTGACAGGAAAGTGGTGGCCATTTGGTAGATGCAGAATGACAGTTTTGTCTGTTCTAGTATGTCTGCTGCTGGAGTCCACTTTAGTCAGAGTTTGTCAGTGGCCTCAAGTCTACAATTTACTATATTGTCGTCACTCCTGGTGTATTAAACATGGTATGAGATCACAAAGCCGGAGAGCAATAGAAAATGGAAGAAATGACAAAAAAAATGCCCCTTCTCATTGCAACTGAAAAAGAAAGACAGAAAAAAAGCAGACAGAAAGAAAGAAGGGCCTCTCAATTTGTGTGTTCAAGTAATATTTATAAGAGAGCACTATGAAGAAATATGGTCTTGATATTTCATCTGATTGCATCCTCAGTTGGATAAGGAAAATTAAAGTTGGCTGCCAGTATTTCAAAAATGCAAAGTGAAAAATGTTTTTTAAACCTCCTCCCAAGATTTTCTAAGTAAAATCTTGTCCACGAGGTGGGTTCAAGCAGCATTGATGCAATAAAGTGATACATGACCAGCAAGGTGCTTGCTCATATGGAATACGAGAAGTAACACAGAATAACATTTATTATTAAAACACAATGTGATGTTATGAAATTAACAGAGAATGTGGGAACTAGGGGTAAAATGAGGTTTCTTCTGCACCATTGCAGACTAAAAATGGATTCTGGTTACTTGCAGTAGAAAGGCAGACATAATAGTTTAATGGTAAGATCCTTTCACAGTCCATTTGATTTCAGTTATAGCCGGTTATTTCACATCCATGCGCCTGACGCCAAGTCCGATGATTACATTCCAAAGACAGCACTATGTGGAGGAGCAAGCCTTGCATATATCCGGACATAACCAATGAAATGTGTATTGTGGATCCCAGTAACGGACCTCAATGGAAAGACTGACAGAGAGAACTAGCTTTGAAATTTTGCCCTATTAAGGTAGCAAGGTGTAGCTGAACATGTTTATAGTGGTGGCTGTGGACTCAATGAC